AAACTTCACATCTTAGTTTTGGAAATTAGTTTCTAGTCATTATTTAATGATCATCTATACTCTTCTCTATTTCATGAAATATTGAGTCAGGTGTTGGGTATTCAGAATTAATTCTGGTTTGCTGAACTCTTACATGTTTTAAATCTACTTAACATTTTTCTACTTTCTGGATACTTTCCTTAAGTATGATTTCTAATATTATGTCTTCATGCTTTCTTTTTTTTAGCTATTATATGTTTGTTTCAAAGAACTTTTTGTATTTTATGATTGTTCTAGCATCTCATTCTACTTTTAGGATACAATGTCTCTTCATTTAGAGGGCATTATAATTTTTCAAATCTTTTTTCACTCCTTGCATAGTTTACTTATTTCTGTTTGTGTAAATATTCCTGTTTTACCGACTGTAGTTCCCTTCTGTTTATGTTTAGAAGCAGAACCTAAAAGGCCAACAGGAATCTCTGAGTGTGTTAGCAGGAGTATCAATTGGTGAGCCCCAGTGTAATCCACAACAAAGTACTGGCTCTCTTTTTATTTCAAGAAATGAAAGCATCCATATCTATAGTTATTTTTTCTTTAGAGTTCTTAGGGGTCTACAGAAAACGCTGTCCTCTTTCTTTCAATATCCAAGTGTGGCTTTCATAGTTCTGAGAGCCAAGTTGAGGATGTGTGTTAAGGGTCTCACTTTTTAATACACACACACACACACACTCACACACACACGTTTATTTTATCGACTTTTATTAAATACTTTATTTTTAGTAGAGTGCCTTGCCCCTTCCTTCATCTAATATTCAAGGCCAGTGCTTTTCCAGTTGAATTTTTCAGAGTAAATTCCAAGTCTCTGACAAGATGGTACATGGGTTCATCCTATGAGTTAGAGGGTCTGGGGGTCCCTTTGCTCCATTTACAGACTTTCCACCTCCATTTTTACATTTTCAGTTCCTTTCTTAACTGCTACATTCAATATCTCTAATTCCTGGGAATTTCTGTGGTTCAACAGCTCAAACGCTGCACTCTGATTTCCCTACATGCTTTAGTTCCAACCCTCCGCTCTGGTACAATAATTACTCTTGTTAATCTGCTTTCCATCTTCTAAATAATGCTTGCCATTTTAGGTCAAACTTTGTCCCATCTCCTCCACTTTGTTGGGTGAGGGGGATAGTGTTGATTATGCCTTCTTTATCTGTGGGAAGGAGTAGAGAGAACAGCTACATGTTTGACTAGAAGTTAATTCAAAGCTCTCTCCAGTATTCCTGCTGTCCCCTGCCTATTTCCTCTGCCAATAGGATAATATTATGACCATCCTCATCCCCATTTTCTCTTTACAGCATATACATGGCCCAGAAAAGATGTGAACGTTTAAGTAGACCTAGCATTTCTACAATCTGCTTTATCAGTTCTTATCTCTTCCTTTCTTGTAGGAAAACTTGGAGAATATGCCACCAGAATAAGAGAGATAGATGGGTATAAAGAAAGATTTTAGGCAGAAAGACAAGGTTCAAGTACATAATAAAATCATAGAAGGAGAGAGAGATGTACACACCAAAAACAGGGCTTAAGGAAGATTCAATGTTTTGATGAAGATTAAAAAATTTGCCCCATGTAAAATATTCCAAAGGCAGAAAAAGGGATTTGTCAAAGAGGTTCTTTGAGTTATAAATTTAATCACATTCAATGATCTTTGAAGGAGTCAAGTGAATATTGAAATTTCTTTAGTAATCCTATGATCTATGTTTCCTTGAATGATATTTTGTATATTTTGCATAGCAAAATAGGTTATTTATAGCCTTCTAAATTTGTGGTGCTCAAATCTAAATATAAAACTTCTAGTGTGAAAATATTAAGCAACTCTAATATGGAACTAAGAGCTACATGCTCTTTTCAAATGCATGTGAAGGACAAAAGGAAATGAGATCTAGAATCTGTAATAAAAAGGAAATTAGTTTTCTTATTTCTAACTCTTCCTCTCTATTTAAAAAAAAAATGAGTCCATTCATTCTAATGTTTAGCCTTTGAACCTTTCCTCCTATCTATCCAAACATACATTCATATTTTCAATAGGCACTGTGTATCTTATCAGTTGCTCAATGGTTTAGTTGGCAAGTCATTAAACCCCAGTAATCCCAGCCAAATTATGTCTTTTCCTGTCTGGGGATAAAATTCATGGCCTTGCGCATGCCAGGCAAATACTCTCACTGAGCTGCAACACCAACCCAAATAAAAATTTTAAAAGGATTCACTTTGACCATCTTCTCCTCAAACACATCCTAAAATATACCTATATGCCAACCCCCAAATAAAGCTCAATCATCTTTGCTTTCTGATCATTTTCTGTGAGTCCCCCCTCCTTGCTCTTTACCCTACGTCTTTTACAATGACCGTCGACGTGATTCACTGAGCTAGAAGAGGGGCAGAGGTTCCCAGGCCTTGAGAAGGTTTAGAATCAAAACAAACTTTCCAGCCTTAGACATACGGTTAACCTAGAGAGAAGTGGCAGCCATGAGCTCTACCCTCAGGGAACTGACGAGAGTGTCAGGGAAGTAGGAGGCTTTGAGAAATGCTTACAAATACAAGAGACAACCATTTCAGGCAACCAGACGGTATGAAGGCAGTGTTTCAGAAGTAGTTTTTATCTCAAATGAAAGATCTTTCTATCTTTCTTACCAATCATTATAGAATGCCTCATGGTAAGGTGGGCATTACAGGAAGTAACTGTGCTTCCTATTTGACTTCTACTTCATGATTTAGGATTGTGGGATTAAACTCCGCTAGCCTGGGTTTTGTTATTTGAAGAAAAAGAAAAGATTTAAGTGAATACTAGTTGAGTATTCTTTAAATATGCAAAAATCTGTGGTTCCTTCTGATAGGAAGAGCATGAATAGATCTACAAGGGCTAATGAAAACCTTAGTAAACCAGTAGCGTACATATAAATGGTCGAATGACCACAGATTATTGTAGGAATGGACTGGATGTCATTGGCAGGTTCAAAATGGGCCTCTTCACATATTTAAGTATTTCCTATAGGTGGGTTTGGAGTTTTCCAGAATTCTCTTTCCCTTTTAATTTCTCTGCAACAGCATTGGGCCTTCAAGGATGAGACATATGTTTTGCAATTTACCTGTGGACCCCATAATGGAGATAGTTTCATCTCAACCCATTCATGTTTTAGAGTTTATAGATAAAAAACCTTGTGGCTTAGTTGATTGGGAATACTATAAGAAAATACTATCAACATGAAAGTTCATAAAGCACAGCTATTTATTCTCCCAATTTTGGAAGCTGGGAAGTTCAAGATCAAGACACAAGCTGACAGGGTGCATGGTAAGATCCTGCTTCCTCATAAAAAGTGCCTTCTGTGTCCTCCCATGGTGGAATTGACTAGCAAATTGTCTGGGGTGTCTTTTCTGTGGGCACTAACCCCAGTCATGAGGGTTCTGCCCTGTGACTTAATCACTCCCCCATAGATCCCCAACTCCTAATAATATTACCTTGGACGAAAGACTTCAACATATGAATTTTGAACACAAACATTCAGATCATAGCACCTTGTCACTGCAGATCTACACTGTTCTTTTATGCAGGTGTGCTCTGTATAAACTCAGTTCTGAATTTGCTATCTCAGAGGGAGGATTAAGAATTTTGGATACTATTCTGCTTTACTTAAATAACAATATACCTGGCAATATCCATTATATCAAATTAGAAGTCTCATTTTTTCTATATTATCAGAGCAAATTCTTTCTCCCCAGAAATTCTAAGTTTCACATGTTTTCATAATTACCACAATAACTGTTGAAATAAATCGGTAGCTTGTAAAGCTGACACATCTTCCTTCTGCATACTATCAATCAATGGACTTTGCAGTATCTCTTGCTTTACTCAGGAAGACTGAACAAAGTGCCATCTTTTGACTCAGGCTCCTTACCATGAGGCTTTCCAGGAGTTCCAACACCAGAGGTAGCTGCTGCATAGACTCAGCATGTCAGGGAGCTACTGTGAGGTCACCAGCTAGTTTCAACCAAGAAAGCATTGCTCTCCACAACAACATTGGTACAACAACATTGGTGCAACATTGGTACCACACAAATGACTTATTTCCCTTGCCTGGATGATGATATTAAAATCTTTTATTAAGCAAATAAACCACATGCAATTTGCCACAAACAACTATCACATGTTGATGGACAATCCCAGGGGGTTTACATTTTCATATAGAATAAAGGCTTGTCATGCAATATACAGAAACAAAACCACACAGATCTCACCAAGAGGAAGAGTATTCTAATTTTAGCCCTGTACCCTGTATTTTACTCTTCCACTCTGTCCCTCATATTCCTCATCCTATGGTATTATCTAACTGGTATTAGATATTACTATACTACCCCTGACACACACACACACACACACACACACACACACACACACTCAATTATTAGATTAGAGATGTAATTATTTCCTTATTTTCACACTGATATTTATCAATTATTTGGGAATTTGAACATATGTCAGCTGAGGAATGTTGGGGAAACCCTGATCATTTACCAGAAAGAGCATGTTAAATAGCAGACTTGTGATAATAGGTGAAGCTTTATTGTTAAGAGATAGAAAGAAAGGGGTAGTAATAGAGAAAAGAGGTCAGTCATTTAAAATATAGATAGAAGAAAATTATATGACAGGCCTTGCATACAATATATATGTAGTTAGCATTCATTTGGAAATGTGTAAATATGATTGAGTGGAATGATGAGTGGATGGATGGAGTGGAACACTATTGTTTCCAACTTCACAAATGCCAAGGATTGAGTCAGCTTTTGTATTTGATTGTTACATTTCATTCTGTTAAAAACTGTTTTGTACTTTTCCGTTTGTGAATGAAGAAAATAGAAACAAAATGTCCTCTAATAGCTGTCAGTGAAAGCTATGGATATTTTTTGCTCTGTTTCTTTCATACTGTTCCATATCAATGTACATATTTTGAGGCATCATGAAAAGTACCAACCTTGAAAGCTGAATTCTGTTTTTCTCACTTCACCTAAAACAAGCAAAAAAAGAAGGAAATATGAGTCAATTAAATCAATATAAGTAGGGGAGAGGTATTTTCTTTTCTCTTAACTTCCCCCCCCCCATTTTCCTGTGTACTAAGGGAAAGCATTTAATTGTGGAGGAATAAATACCTGATGGAAAATTTTCTCCCTAAACAGTTTTCATTTTGTGCTTTGTGTATTTTGTGCTTGATTTTTAAAAATTTCTTGGTGACATAGCAATGAGTGGAGATAGAAGGGATGCTTAATAAAAATTATAAAAATAAATGATAAAAAAGAAAAAAAATATATAGGCAGCACTTAATCAACCCATGGAAATTTGCCATCATGGTAACATTTTCTCACAGATTCAGGCAAGGGCATTTGAAGGGGATGGTACAGGTACAGTTTATTCTTGGGTTCTGTATTTCTACCCTGGAATGCTGATTAGAACACAGACTTTTGCTTTTTCCCTCTCCTCGCTCCCCTAATAATCTGTTCTCCCTTACGGACCAAGTGATTATTGTGTTGTTTATAATAACTGTTCTACATTCCTTATGGAAATTGTAATTATGATGCTGAATATTCAAACTGCAAGCCACTTTTCTCAGGGAAATTGTAATTATGTTAATGTAGTATTTACTCAACCAATGTTTTCAAGTCATTGTTCTCTTTGAGGAATGAGGAGGTGAGAGAAAAACACTGACATAAAACATCCTTATGGGATCTCAGATATGCATTCTGGCAATAAATGGTAATAATAGCTGTTATTTGAAATATGACAAGCATGACACAGTCAAGCTTCACATAAATGACATGCATGAACATTTTGCAGAGGTATATACAAATTATAAAGTTTTCCCATATAACTGAAACAATTTCATGAGTTATATTATTATCCCAATTTTTAAGATAAAAATCTGAAAAATTTGCTCTGCACTGTGAGTTTAAGGTCTACAGAGTATTTGACGCATCAGTATGCATAAATTTATCTTACTATTGCTAAAAGTATATTCTTATGTACATGTGATATCTGACTTTGCAAAGAAAAAATGCTAGAGGAATAGATATCAGTATAACTGATCTTTTAGTAACAGATTGAGGAAGAAATGTTTTTTCTCATAATACATGAATTTTAGAGTTTGAAATGTTTATGGTAAGAATGCTTTTTTGTTGTTGTTGTCCCTAGAAAACAGATTTTTAAAAAATTTATTTGTAAGTGAACACACAGTATCTTTATTTATTTGTATGTGATACTGAGGATTGAACCCAGTGCCTCAAACATGTGAGGCAAGTGCTTTACCACTGAACTACAGCTGCCAACAGATTATTTTTTTTAAGTATAAAAAGATAAGACCAAGGACACCCCCAAATAAATGCAAAAATTGTATTCTTTCAAAATGAAAACACAAAACTCAAAATCTAAAGCCAATCACTAAGAAATCTTATGAGACAAGCCCCTAGGTGGAATAGGAAGTACATCTCTGTTAGTTCATATCTACCTGCCTTGTTTCTACTTTGCTAGACACTGTTTTCTCTACAACAAGTGTCCCAAACAAGGATCGAAGCACTGTCCTTTATTCCTTGTTTTATAGTGATGGTTTAGGATTTTTTTTCAATATTATTAAGTGAGAATAGAGTACCTGTTATATACAAGTACTTGATAGACATGCTTTTAAATCCTGTAACTATGCAAGACATGTATTTTTACTTTAATTTTATAAATGAAGAAAATGAACCTTATTTTAGTCAGCTTTTTCACTGCTGTGACTAAAAAGGACCCAACCAGAACAACTGTAGAGGAGGAAAAGTTTATCTAAGGGCTTACAGTTTCAGAGGTCTTAGTCCACAGAAGGCAGGCTCCATTCCTTGGGGATCAAGGTGAAGCTGAATATCATGGTGAGAGTGTGGCAGAGGGAAGTGACTCACATCATGATCAGGAACAGAGCAAGATTCCACTCTCCAGATACAATATATATGTATATATACCCCAAAGCCAGACCCCCAATTATCATGTCCAGCCACGCCCTACCACTTCAGATACCACTCAGTTAATCCCCATCAGGGGATTAATTCACCGATAGGGTTAAGACTGTCACAATCCAATCATTTCTCTTCTGAACCTCATTGTCTTACATGTGAGCTTTTGGGAAATACCTTACATCCAAACCATAACATTCTGCCCTGGCCCACCAAAGTCCAACTCATCTGACAATGTAAATGACAATTTGTCTATTCCCAAGAGTACCCATCATCTCAACAGTTCTGAGACTGCTCAAAGTTCAAGTCTAAAATCTTCTTTGAGGCTCAAGTCAATCTTTCATTGTGAACGTCTGCAAAATTAAAAGCAATTTTTAAGTATCTGATATATAATGGTACAGAGCAAACATTTCCATTTATAAAAGTAAGGGCATAGAAAGAAGGGATGGGATCTAAGCAAGACCAAAATCCAGTTGGGCAAACAAGTCCTGTAGCTCTGTGTCCGGCACATGGGGCACATGTGATGTTCTCTCCAAAGGGCTTGTGTAACTCCTCTCCCTGAAGCCTTGCTGGTTGTAGCTCAAGGGGCCTTTATTTTGGCTTGACTCTGCTGGATTCCTGCTGCTTTCCTAGGAGGATGTCTCATGTTACTGACATTTCTTAATCTCAGGTGTATTCACTGCAGCAGTGGTTTCCTCCTTACATCTCTACACTTAGACTTCCCAGAGAGTTCCCACAGGACTCTGACCCTGCTGCACTATGCCTGGACTTCCAGGCTTTCCTTTAAAATCTTCATGGAAGCCTCCATAACCCCCTAACTCCAGCATCCTGCATTCCTGCAAATCCAGGACCAGTGGTTGATGCCAAGGTCTGCTGCCATCTTGAGCAGTAGCCAAGCCTCCAGGGACACTTGCTACAGCAGCCTCTGTGTATCTGGGTGACTGAGCATGTTGAAAAGACTTCCAAAGCCCCCTTTTGCAAGGAGGATTCCCAACTGGTCTCTTCTCAAGAAAATTTTCACTTTTACTCCCTTGAGCTGGATCTTGAGTGTGATCTTGCCAGCTCCTGAGATGCCCTCAAGCTATTTTTCTTATTGTCTCCCGGCAAAGTCTTTGGCATTTCTGTAGTGGCAGTAAATGTCTTAACTACTGCAACTTCCTTAGCCCTAGTTTTACTTGGGCTTTTCAAGTTCACTTTTTCTAAATATTTATGCTCTGCTTTCTGCTCCTGATTGTAACAATAAATTTGGCTAAAACCTACCAGCAATATCCATGCCACTGCCTGAATGCTATGCTGCCTGGACATTTCTTCCACCAGCTTAAGAAATGCATTCCTTCTATAATCAGCCTCACAGTAAGAATCTGGAAATGGCAAAATGAAAATAGCTTCTCAGTGAGCACATAATATGAATGGCCTCTACTCCAGTTTCCAAAAGAGTTATCTTCTCAACCCTCGTGAGCCCTATCTTCATTGTCCCTGGTCCTATTGGCATTCTGGCCTTCTAAGCTCTCACCAGAATTGGTCATTAAGCTCTGCTTACAACAACCTAAAGCATTTCCAGCTTGCAGTGTTAAATATTTCAAAATCCCTCTCACCAATTTCAGAAAGCTTCTGAACCCCATGGGCAGGTTAGGCATAGCAATGACTGCACTCCTGGTGCCAATTTCTGTTTTAGTCAATGTTTTTGCTGCTGTGACTAAAAGGACCCAATCAGAATAACTGAAGAGGAGAAAAAGTTTATTTAAGGGCTCATGGTTTTGGAGGTATTTGTCCACAGAAGGCTGGCTCCATTCCTTGGGGCTCAAGGTGAGGCTGAACATCATTGTAGAAGAGTGTGGCAGACAGAAGTAGCTTACATCGTGATCAGAAAGCAGACAGAGAATCCACTCTCCAGATACAATATATCTATATCTATATCTATCTATCTATCTATCTATCTATCTATCTATCTATAGACAGTGACTCATTTTGACTGCAACTAAAATAAATTCCAGATAACGGTTTGCCTTATATGTCTTCAGGGTCTTATTCAGCACCATGATCTGAGAGCTTACCAAGTGCTGCATCTATCAATATGTGATATTGCATAGTGTGACTCCAGATCAATGGAACTTCTTGGGACTGCTCTAAGATAGGATAAACTCACATGAAGTGAGTAGAGTCAAGTTGCTGGAGCTAGATTCTGCTCCCTTTTCACTGGTGTACTCAGCTGCCCAAGGTGTACTGCTGGTAGCTTATAGCGGCTTTTCTAGGAATTTTCCTCCTCCCACCCAAGGGAGCATCTTTGACCAAGGTGATTCCCCCCACAACACAGACAGTTCCTTTCTAATGACTGATTAATATGGAATAAAAAGGCCAAGCCCCCCTTTTTAAAATTGGGACACTTATAAACATATTTATCCCAAGTACAGTTCCCAGTTAATTTCTTCTGTTTCCCAGACTGTTTTCTTGGGGAAATTTATCTAAATAAAAAACATAAAATTCAGAAGACATGGTCCTGAGATATCTGGCTCTAAAGTCCACTTATTTTCCATTTCATCTTCCTGCCTCCTGCTAAGAATGATTAAATTAATTTTCAATAAATTTTTATGCATGTAGTAGTTATAGGTAAAAATGATATGTTTAAGCCTATATATAAGAAGGCATTATTTAGTGCTAGACAATGTTGGCAATTATACTACCATTGAAACTTTAATACATTTATATCTCTCAGAATCCAGCCATTTACTAAGATAAATTAGTAATTATATTCACATATACAAATTTGTAATAATTTTATTAAAAATTTTATACATATAAATATGTATATATCCTGATCCTACAAGATATCTCTTAAGACATTTCAAGGTTAGTTTCAACAAAATCCCTCATTATGCTAGCCTGTTTTCAAAGAACAATATAATACTTTTAATCATGTAATTTTCTAGGAAAAATATTCAAGACTTCTCTGTTGCAGAAAACTTAAGAGATTAGTTATGGAACAAAGGCTTACATTTTCTTCCGTAAATGTAAGGATTTTATCAGGCATGAA